TTAAGTTTCCCCAACATTTGTTAAAGAGAATATCCTTTCTATATTGTGTATTCTTGATTCTTGGTACTCTCATTGTACATCAGTTGACTATATATATGAAAGTTTAGTTCTGGAACCTCTGTTCTGTTCCATTAGTCTGTATGTCTGTTTCTAGGCTAGTACCATACTATTTTAATAACAAAGCATTGTAATGTTTTGAGATCAGGACATGTGATGCCTCCAGCTTTGTTCCTCTTTGTCAAGATTGTTTTGGCTATTTGGAGTTTTTGTGGTTCCATATAAATATTAAGAATGTTGTTTTCTCTTTCTGTAAAAAGCAACATTGGGATATTGAAGCTGGTTTAGGATACTGCAACTTATTAAATGAGATCTGAACCTCTCATAAAGGTGTTTTGGTTACTAATATCACCGTTAAAAAAAATCTGTGTTTCTGTGGGAGAATGAGGGCTGGGATTCCTCGTTCTGCCATCTTGCTGACATCACCTGGGCTGAGTCCTTTCTATGTATTTATAGGCTCTTTCCAATTTTTCTGTCAATTGTTTGTCAGCACCCTTAACTCAGTGTTATATCTGAGTAATCATAGTTTTCTTATTGAATTTTAAGAGCTCTTTGTAGAGGAGGGTTATTAACACATTGTCTATAATACATGTTGTACATATTTTCCCAGTTGGTTATTTGACTTACAATTTTATTATGGAAGAAATGTATTAATATTTTTCTTTGCAAAGACTTTAGTCAGGTGCTTCAGCCAAGGAGAACAGGGGAAAAGGCTTAAATCCAACTCCCTGAACAACAAAATTGGGGGATTTATATTACAGGGAAAACAGAAATTAGGGAAGGGTAAGGGAGCAATCATGATGGATGCAGGGTCTGGCATTTCACTATCTAGATGTGGTGATCCAAAGAGTTTCAGCTCCTTGCCTGAGGATTAGTCTCCCAATGAAGGAACTCATATGAGACAAATGTCATATGAGACAAATGTAAGTTTCAGGTTTTAAGACCAGGGAGAGTGAATTTCTATGTTTATTTTTAAAAAAAACATAAATATTAGCTCTATGAAACAAATGGGCCCATTTCATTGGCATTAAGTTTATATTTAAAAATATAATTAAAATAATACACTACCATATTACGTCTATAGCTTGTAAATCAAGTTGGCAAGAGTTCTTCACTAGTATTCTTGATTCCTAATTCTTTAAAATGCCCTCTATTTCACTGACGATAAATAAAACCAAGGGGTGTCTTTCCACTGGGATAGCATTACCTCTGAAGTGTTGCCTCCTGACATTTAACTATTTGTCTGTTCAGTTTCATGGATTATCTACTTCTTAACCTTCTGAGATGGGTAGTTTATTAAAGAGCTTCCCTTACTTACTCTGCCACCCAGATACCAGGTTTAGAACATTCAGATATTTTTTTTTAAATAAAAATGACGTTTTAATGTTTTATATCTCATGGTTGCCATCTATCCTCTCTCCTCAAGATGCAATACTTGCCATACTACATAGCTAAAGTTTTTGTTGGAAAGTATAAAACCAAACTGAGAGCTGTCTGAGATTTTTTCATGTGCACAGCACAAAATGTTATATATGAAGTAAGGACCGATCACTCACAATACACATGTTTTGAGATTTTTCTATTTTCTTGTTTTTAAGATTCTCCACGGAACAATTTGGATTAAGATATATTACATTTTGTGTTGTGCACATGAAAAAATTTGAGACGGGTCTCAGTTAATTTAGAAAGTTTATTTTGCAAAAGTTGAGGATGCATACTCATGACACAGCCTCAGGAGGTCCTAATGATAGGTGCCCAAGGTGGTCAGGGCACAGTTTGGTTTAATACAATTTACGGAGATGAGAGATCAATCAACACATGTAAGATGAACATTGGTTCAGTTTGAAAACGCAAGACAAAAGAAGGGGTTTCCAGGTCCTAGGTTGATAAGAGACAAAGGGTTGCATTCTTTTGAGTTTCTGATTAGCCTCTCCGAAGGAGGCAATTCTGAATGCATGGATGTAATAACCTTAATTTTTTAAAAATTAAATCTCCTTTTACCCTAAGCAAACCAAATTTAATGATAATGACATAGGAATTATTTTGACAAAACATAAAATATGTCAAACCAGTTACCAAAAGGCAACAGAAAAGACTTTCTGCAGTGCTGAGAGTATTATGTTGGAAGATGACATTTCCTTTAGACCTTTAAAAATACATTGTTAGCATCAGGCCAGAAAAAAAAAAAAAAAAACAGAACCCGAGGAATGAAAAAAAAACTTAAATGAGCTGAAAATGAGTTGAAAGAAAATATTGCTATTTTGTGCCTTGTAAAAGGGGAGAAAAAACTGAAACCGGCGAGATGCAATAAAAGTTGTACTTTGGGTTAAAATTGAAAAAAGAAAATCTCTTAAAATTTATTAAAAGCAAATCAACTTTTTAAGAAAATGTTATTGTTCTAACCAAATCTTTAGTGTGTAAGTGTTTTTTGCTTGTCTGTTTTTCATCAAACCCGATCTCTAGAAAGACCAAATTTTTTTTTTTGGCCAGGCGCTGTGGCTGATGTCTGTAATCCCAGCACCTGAGGGGGCTGAGGCAGACGAATCATCTGAGGTTGGGAGTTTGAGATCAGCCTGGCCAACATGTGTCTCTACTAAAACCACAAAAATTAGCTGGGCGTGGTGGAGGGCTCCTGTAATCCCAGTTTTTTGTTTGTTTTTTTAAATAAATCTTCTCATTGTGATTTACACAGATCATTCATGATATGCGTGGACTCTCTGGTTTGTCCTTAACATTCCTTTCTTAAACAACCAGTCATTTGACTCAATTTACCAGGTACTATGACTCAGTTTACCATACAAGATTCTTTCTCATATGAAATTATTTCTCTTTAAGCTTTTTTAGCAAAAACAAAAACAAAAACTTCTTTCTTTACATCTCTTTTATTTCCTGCTTCCTTTTACTTTGTTTTGTACATGACCTTTTTGAAAAGGACACACTTTTTTTTTTTAGAAAGAATATCTTCGGCTGGGCACAGTGGCTCACACCTGTAATCCCAGCATTTAGGGAGAGCGAGGAGGGTGGATCATGAGGTCAGGAGTTCAAGATCAGCCTGGCCAAGATGGTGAAATCCTGTCTTTACTAAAAATACAAAAATTAACGAGGCATGGTGGCAGGCACCTGTAATCCCAGCTACTTAGGAGGCTGAGGCAGGAGATTCGCTTGAATCCAGGGGGCAGAGGTTGTAGTGAGCCGAGATTGTGCCACTGCACTCCAGCCTGGGCAACAGAGTGAGACTTCTTCTCAAAAAAAGAAGAAAAGAAAAAAAAAGAATATTTTTCTAAAAATATATTTTTATTGAAAAATACCCAAAATAATGAAATACCTATAATTATATTTAATATAACTTTAAATTTAAAATTATGAAAAGTTTGTCTACAAGCATTAATCCTATTATGTTTACCTAATTATTTTATTGTTATTGTTACCTATATTATTATTATTTTGAGACAGAGTTTTGCTCTGTTAGCTGAAGTTCAGTGGCATGATCTCGGCGCACTGTAACCTCCGCCTCCTGGGTTTAAGTGATTCTCCTGTTTTAGCCTTCCGAGTAGCTGGGATTACAGGCACCCGACACCACACCCAGCTAATTTTTGTATTTTTAGTAGAGATGGGGTTTCACCATGTTGGCCAGCCTAGCCTGGAACTCCTGATCTGAGGTGATCTGCCTACCTCAGCCTTCCAAAGTGCAGGTATTACATGTGGGAGCCACCGCACCCAGCCCTCTTTATCTACATTATTTATAAAAACTTCCATTGTCATTATATAATATTATGGAACCGCCATTGCAAAATTATAACTAAGACAGTGAAAAAGATTTGACCTAACTGACTCCATCTTGCTTCTAACCTCCCAGCTGTCCTTGTTCATTCCTGGGTACAGTCTGAACTAACTTTTGGGCAGAACTTAGTTTATAGTATATTTTTGAAACAAGATGTTAACAGTCCTTTCCCAGAACAAACCTTACTGCCTGTAGACTAGACCGCCTAAAGCCACAAGATTAGTAGTTACGGTTATCTTACTAAATTCAAGACTTAAGTACTTTATTAAATCAATGTCTATGTCTTATTTATTAAAAATTACACAAGCAAAGATCATTCCGTCAGGTTGGGTTTACAGTTTTGTATCCCCTATGCCAAATTTTGACACCTTATAGCATTTGGCAGAGATAAGTATGAAATAACTTGATTAATAAATGCAAATAAAAATGCATATTGGCAATTCTTAAGATATTTCTAATATTACTTTACCAGTAATTTTAAAGCTAGCTTATTTGTGAAAGAGTTTACTTAATTTACTTTTACTTGAAAAAACATTTGACTAGTCTTTTTGTTCCAGATAAAGTATTTGATTCAAACACTTATACTTTCTTAAGCCATTTAATTAGAGCTCTTTCATACAGTTTTAGTAGTGAAAGGTTGTGTACACAACACATAAATACAAAGATGCATCAGACATTCAGATAGAAGTACAGTTTATAGATTTATAAAAACCTTTTTTTCTTCTTAGACTTTCAGATTATTGATAACCTATTCCACAACCCTAGGCAGTTGTCAGCTAAATAGCCTTAAATTTGCATATTAAAGGAAACAGCTTAGGTGAAAATCAAACAGCCAAATTTGCATGATAAGGTGTGAAGAGAAAATGTCTGGTGGTGCTAGAGGGTGATTAAAGATGGATGCCAAACCAAACATAAATTTATAGAAATTTATCACAGGATTGTATAAGGGGACCAATTTCTTTCGATAGGGACTACCTATCTTTGAATTGGATCTCTGAGCTCTAGGCAGAGCCCATACTGAATCCTGGATCTCCAAAAGGGAGAATTATGGGGTTAGACCATGTGATGCTTTTCCAGTGTACTTAAACTTTTGTTTTTTAGACAAAGACATTTCTAAATTCCTAAACCACACTCTTCCTTAAAATCCCAAGAGTAGCCTCCGTGGCACTATTTCAGCAAAAACAACCAAAAAAACAGGTAACATAATACAAAAGTAAGCAGTTTAAGAGCTGAAATGAACTTGAACTTGCCTGTTTACGTTCTTGGGGTTCCGTAAGAAAAAACAGGTTTCTCCCCAAAAGGAATCTAGTGCCTTCTCCATTTTCTTTAAGGAGCCACAGGCTATTATAAACTGTTTCACGTACCACATGCAGGAGAAGGTGGAAGAAAAGGAGAGACAGCAGAAGCATATGAAGAAAACAGTATTCCGTCAACTGAGAAGAAAAAAACTTTTGCTCAAAGACAAAAAATAATAAACAAGGTCCTAGGAGAAAAACAAAAACATAAAGGCCTTTTAAATACAAACACACACATGTTCACAAGCACACATACATCTTGAATGTTAGCTTTTAATTAAGCTGAATTTTAACCGTTGAGCTCTGTAGGAAATAAGAATAAATAAAAGGTTTCTCTTCAAAGCTTTCCTCTTAGTTCATTATGAATAAATAATAGTTTATTCAAAGATTAATTTACTTTAAAGCTTTTGCTAATAAACTAGCTGTTAGGCTTAATAAAGAAATAAGTGAATCCCGCGTTCTTAGTTCTTACACTTTAACCTAGATATTTGCCCTGACATTCCTGGACAAGCCCAGGCAAGCCTTAGGTCACAGCTAATTCCCCTTCGTTATTTGTAAATGTTATCCCTTCTCTAAGCATTCCTCAAGTTACTTTCTCTTTTCCTTTGCTCTCCTCTGGCTTTACTTCTTTAGAAAATTTCCAAGTTTTTAGCCAATTGGGTCAAGCATAGAATGTGAGGTCCTGTTCCGGCCAATGGAAACTGGACACAGCAGTAGGGTGATTGCGCCAGGTTATGAAAGTTATAAATGTCCCTGTCTCCTTGTTCAGGCGTGCTCTCGTGGCAAGACTGCCTTCGAGATGCATCCTTTCTGCAGGAAGTAAACTAGCCTTGCTGAGTGATCCACTGTCTCGGTGTGGATTTTTCCCAATGTTATAAAACCGTTTCCAACAAGCTCCTTTAAAAAAATCATTTTAAATCTCATTATCATATTTCAGCTAGGACGAATTGCTGTTATTTCGGAAGTACAGCCACTGCTCTTTCAGTTTGGCCTGGCAAGCAAAAAGGTGGACTTGTTATGTAAATAAAGCCCCTTAGTAGTAAAAATCAAATTTTTTTTCTTTTGCCCGCAGTTTTTCTTCTTCATCACACCGCTTTTTTTTTTCGTGCATGTGAGAATTTATCCACTTCAGAGGCCTTGTTCACCATAATTTGGAACTTCCTTTGGATTTGATCAAGTTGAAGACCGTTGATCAAACCCAATGGGAAAAAGAACAAAACAACAACAAAAACAGAAACAAAAAAGTTAAGCAAAACAAATGATCACACAACTTACATGATTACCGAGTACTCTAATGGTAAGGAGAAATTAAGACCAGCTGGTCGTTAATCTTCACTTTAGCCAAGACAGACCCCAATTTAGTTACTTACCTAGGGATGGGACTCAGGCTGAAGACTGCTTTCTACCATCAGAGAAGTGAAGCAGGAGCTGCTTCAAGAAACAGACCTCTCAAACACCGAACTGGGAAGGAAGAAGTGTTTATTGTTATTATTATTATTATCATTATTATTTCAGCTGGGAGCCATGCGACAATTTGTCTAAAGGAAGAGAGGCTCTGCCTTTATATAGGCTTACACTCTAGATATTACACATTGAAAAATCTTAGGTTCACTGCCTTAGAAATTACCAGTGAAAGGGTCTTGGGTTTACAGCTTTAGAAATCACATATGAAAGGTTCTTGGAGTGGGGTGGGGGTTTGATCTTGTTTAAGTAAAAACAATGTCTTCCAGAGAGATTTCCCCCACACCATGCCTGCTATTTACAGGAAGGTGATTTAGGAGATGCCAGTTGGCCAGGCCTTTCTTCTATTGAAACGCAGTGTGGAAGTCAAGGGGGAGGTGATCCTAGATGCCTGGGTCTCCTTCCTCAGAAGCAAGAAAAACAAAACAAAACAAAATAAAAACCTCATCTTCCCTGTTGACGGCAAGTTCAAACTCCATAAAGGAGTTACCTGCCTTCCATCGTCATGGAAGCAAGAAAAACTTGCCTTCCTTGTCTTGGAAGCAAGGAAAATCAAAAAGCAAAACAAAACGAAAACAAAAAGAGTTTACGGTAGAATAAACTTTACATCGTGACCAAATTTTGAGAGATCAGGAATTCTCTGGAGGGGGTGCTTCCAGGCCTCAGCAAATTGTCCTATTGGTTTGAGCGATAAAGACAGTTCAAGCTGGTACAAAGCACTGATAAGAAATTTGTGGGGCCGGGCGCGGTGGCTCAAGCCTGTAATCCCAGCACTCTGGGAGGCCGAGGCGGGTGGATCACGAGGTCAAGAGATCGAGACCATCCTGGTCAACATGGTGAAACCCCGTCTCTACTAAAAATACAAAAAATTAGTTGGGCATGGTGGCGCATGCCTGTAATCTCAGCTACTCAGGAGGCTGAGGCCGGAGAATTGCGTGTACCCAGGAGGCAGAGGTTGCGGAGAGCTGAGATCGCGCCATTGCACTCCAGCCTTGGTAACAAGAGCGAAACTGTCTCAGAAAAAAAAAAAAAAAAAAGAAAAAGAAATTTGGCAAAAGTCAGAATCATCTCCATGCAGCATCCCTTCATGGTTACCAAAATTTGAATCCTGAATATCTGAGACAGGTCTCAAATAATTTAGACAGTTTATTTTGCCAAGGCTGAGGACACCTACTCATGACCCAGCTTCAGAAAGTTCTGATAACATGTGCCCAAGGTGGTTAGGACACAGTTTGCTTTTATACCTTTTAAGGAGACAGGTGACATCAATCAGCATATGTAAGATGAACATCGGTTCAGTCTGGAAAGGCAGGACAAGTCGAAGCATTCCAGGTCATAGGCAGTTAAGAGACAAATGGTTGCATTCCTTTGAGTTTCTGATTAGCTTCTCCAAAGGAAGCAATCAGATATGCATTTTTATCAGTGAGCAGAGGGTGACTTTGATTAGAATGGGAGGCAGATTTGCCCTAAGCAGTTCCCAGCTTGACCTTTCCCTTTAGTTTAGTGATTTTGGGGGCCCAAGATAATTTCCTTTCAGTGTCAGTAGAATTGCACTTACTTGTAATAAGTCAGAAGATAAAAATGTAGGTCATTCTACTTTTAAAATATTATCTATTCACTAGTCATCTTGCTACTCTGTCTGTAAGAAAAAAGTGACTTCGATGCTCACTCAAATCTGTAATAATTATTATTTCAATAAAAGAAATTAATAGATGAATGAGCATGTTAGGTTTGGAATCGTGGGGTGCGAAAATGATAGCCTTTTTTCCTGGGTTTGTACATATTGTATAGATATTCCGGAAATTTCGTTTTAACACTTGTTTTGAAAAAGTAAAATATCATCTAATAAATATGTGTTCCTAAAAATTACAGTGCTATGAAAATCATGCAGTAAAAACCAAAAGGCTCATGTGAAAAAAGAGGTTAGGCACACAATACAAATTTCTTCCTAACCCCGGTATTTCCATGAGGCTTGCAGTATTTAACTGCACAATTTGGACAGTGAAGTAATTTTTAGTAGCACATACCATGTTATAGTATTATAGAAGAAATGACTGAGTATATGTGCATTATATATATTTAATAATCAGGTAATCATTATATTAGTTTATGGAATACCTGTGTTGTTAAATCAGGAAGACAAACCTGAATCAAAAGGACAGCAAAATTATGGAAATAGAAAACTGACAATTGACTCTTTTCATCTTATCTCAGTTCTTTTCTCAAAGCTAGATCTAGGTAGAAGAAACTTTGGTTAATATCTCCTTCCCCAAGCTAACCCTTAGAGTTGTCTTTAAAAATGAAGATAGCCTTTCAAATGTGTGTTAAACGTAGACAAAAGTATATTTAGAAACCTTTGTTATTTTTATTGACCTGTAATATACAAGAAGGTAGCAGATGTCAGCATTAAGCTTAAGATATAAGTAAAAGAGAGTGCTTACTATGCAAAAGCAGCTCCCAAGAAAACTCCCTCACAATGCTTTTTCATCCAACAATTCCTCTTATGTACCTGGATCTTTACTAGTAAAGATTGTAGTCGTAATTGTAGTAGCACACAATTAATTTGGCTGATAGTTGGCAACAATCGGTTGTGTATTTACTATTTTTAGGTTTTTGTTTGTCAATTTCTCTTCTTTTTACAATATTTGGATAGTTTGTCTATTCCACAGAAAGCAGAAGGCAGCTCACATGACACTGGTTTCGTTCCTCCTTACCTTCCTTCTTTCTGTCCTTCACTCCCTCTGCCCTAGTCTTCCTTTCTTCCATTTTAAAACTTATAACTTGCATTTTTCTATTTAATATTTTATATGATGTTTGGCAACCTTGATTTCAACTGCTAAATTTAATCTCTGTTTCATAAGTAGGCAGTTGCAATAAATTTTAGAATATTATCAGTGCACCTGAGAATCATCTCTACTGATTATTTTTCTTGAAAGATCACACTTCAAATAATCTTGTTCCCTATAAAGGACAGTTTATTGTCAAATGTGTAGTGCCTGGGGACGTTTATGATTCTAAACATGTTTCCATCCCGCTATTTTTCTGACAGCTTGGTTCTGTCTTTCCTGTGCCAAAAATAAACTCTGCATGGTAAGAAGTTTGTGCAGTCTTGGTAGTCCACTGAGGAGTGGGGATTACTTTAACTATAGCTCTAGATTTCTTACAGTAAAAGGCGTATTTTCCAAAATTTGCAGACTGGACCATATTTATAAACAACTTGTAGTTTGTCATTGGAAAATCTAACCATTTCCAAGATTTATTGTGTAGTGTTAAATCTCACAGGTAATACCTTTATATATCTTAGTTTTCTTAAGTCAGAGTACATGATATATCGTTATGTGATCCAACAATCAGCAGATGAAGGTGTTTGCAGTAATTCCATATAGCGCTAATGATACTAAGAGTCATAAAGGGAAAGCTCTTTTTGTATGGATAAGAGTTTAACTTCCATAAATAAATTAATTCCTTTGTATTTTACCTAAGAGTCAGATACCCTCATGAATCATGCAGATTGCAGCATGCTGAGTGCGTTTTGCAAGATGCACATAGGAGGCGATAATTAATGTCTAATCTCTTTCGAAATCACTAATGAGATCTACTGGGTACAGTTGCTGGACCTGTTTACTTTACCAGGTATGTTCATGGATACTCTGAAATGACTCATGGTCTACCTTTAGGTTTCTAGAACTGTCTGTGCTTCCTGACTTCTTTTTACCTGCTCCTGTGCCCTTGCAACAGACAAAACAAACACAATCTCTCTCTCTTTCCCTTTATACCTGGATTATATGTTAATTTAAATTAATATTAGAAACATACATTTTCCCTATTGTTAGTTGTAATAATCTCATTGTCACACTACATTAGTTGTTATAGAACTCTCATTTTGGTTTTAGATGTTTAATTTTTTTCTGTTAAAATTAATGTTTTTACTTTGTCTATGATTCACATCCTGGTAATGTTTTTGCCTCTGTGAAACTAACCTGCTAATAATATGTTAAAGGAATCATTTTATGTTACCATTTATACTTAAAACCATTTCCACATTCAACATTAACTAAATTTATATATACTTACCAAAGATACTGTATTTGAGTGTCTTGTTTTTAAATGTTTTTGGTTCTTTCTCTTTCCTGCCTGTTCTTTGTCTTGCCTTTAATAATGGAATAATATTCTACTTCCCTTCTTTCTGCCAGGTACCCCCTTGCACAATGTTTCCCTTATCTAATTATCTATTTGTTTAGAAGTTCTAGAGACTAAATATTGAAACAATTCAGGCCGCTATGGAATTCTCCCTGACCTGGAGATTTCTTCACAGTTGCAGTTAATCTGCAGCCTGGTCATACCCAAGATGGCACCAACCCATTCACAAGATGGATCAATAATCCGAGAGAAGTTGTCAGAACAAGTCATGTAGACTGGCACCTCCTTGACTCTCCTGCATGTCCCCACATACCATGCAACCCTTTTTAAGTCCTTGCATTCTGTCTAAAATTTGAAATGTTTTATTTAAGGCAGGAGCCTGGACCATTTTCCCCTGCTGGCTTTGGAAAATAAATTCACTGTTCTTTCATAGCATTTTGTCCTTGTTGATTGACTCTGCAAGCAGCAAACAGCCAAGCCTGCACCTGGTTACAATATATCCATTTTTATTATATTCCAGCTATACTGTAGATATAATTCTTTATTGAGGAACAAAAGGAAAACGTGTATCGTATGATCATGGTAGAAAAAGTAGATAATGTGAATTTTTGCTTCTCGACTTGTCATCAGGATTATAATTCTTAGATTTACTTTGATTATTTTTTGGCCTTTGAAAGTTTTATCATTTGTGTGTTTTTTTTTTCTTAAGTCAAAACAAGGAAATAAAATCACATTTGCCTTCCAAGAAACGATAATGTTTAAGTGGTTGTACAGTGTTTTGTATTTTTGGGGGCGGGAGGGGGTTTGTGGAATACACACACACACACACACACACACACACACAGTCTGTATATACACTTACTGGAGCCATCACTATGTTTTGAAAAAAATATATAATCATCTATTGAAGCTTAATAAAATTTTGATTAAGCTAAGAGCTATTTTTGTAGAAAAATAGTAATGCCTCAAATGGTAAACTCATTTGAGTGGCACTTGTTTCTGTGTCTGTATAAGAACTACCTTAAATGTCAATGGGACGTAATCTGCTCTGAGAGCTAAGTTATATTTTCCAAATTTTTACATGTCAGTGTTATTCAGTGAAATTGAAAGAACATGGCCATTGATTGAATTATGGCACTGCTCCTTACTATGGTGGAAGATTTTGGCCAAGTTATTTAACCTCTGGAGTCTCCTTCTTGTACTCTGTAAAATGGGATTAAAAAAAAAAAAATAAGCTAGGCATTTATGTAGCACAGTGCTTGCCTTGTTCTGTGTACATAGTAAAATAGGCAATAATATTATGATTTGTGTTCCATCTCAAAAATAGGAGTTATTCGGGGATCAAAAGTAGGCAAGTAAAAGGAATCTTTCTCCTTTCTCCAACTTCTCAGTATTCCCAGATTTAACATGTAATAGGAAAATAGTCATTAGTGAGAAAGAAACAAATGAAGAATTAAACTCTGTATGTCTATTTTCAGGCATCTTGTTTTGGCTCTGCCATCCACCTTAAATGAGCTTTCACAATCAAAGCAGAAGGGCATCAAAGTTAGGCATTGTTAAGAAATTCACTGCTTTTTCTGAATATCTTGTATTTCTGAACCTTCTGTTATGAGATGAAATTACCTTTGCATTTTTGACAGTGAAATTCTGACAGCTATTAATGAATCAAAGAGGAATTAAATATCAGGACAAAATAGTGGGCGTTGGATAAAAGGCAAATTCAAGGCTAAGAAAACATGTACAGAAGTAGAAACAATGCAAAAGCTTGAGAGAAAAACATCAGTAATGCAAATGGCAATTTAGTACTGAGCATTCTTGTTAACAAATTCAACTAATGACACTATTCTCACAGGAGAAAATTTATGCAAATTCTACTCCCCAAATAGAAATGGATGAAAGAAAAAACTTACAGGCTTTTCTGAACATTCAGACATACAAGAAAATCAAATAATGAAAAATAAATAAATAAATAAATATAAAAAGAGAAGGAAAAGAAACACATAGACACAAAGTGTACTGAAACAATGGAAAAGTTACACATAAAGAAACCAAAATGGTAAGAAATTTGACAAGCATTGAGTTTGCCACTGGGCCTTGAAACTTTACTAAGAATGGGGGTGAAATTAATATTGAATTGAAAGCAGAGGGATAACAGGGGTTCTCACTTTTCCTATAAGGTTGTTACATAGACTCCTACCATGACGAGTCAAACTTAGTTTCCCAAGTTAGAACCATGAGATGTGTTTTGATTAAAGCTTCATGTAGGCATCTATAATGTTAATATATATAATTAACTGCAGTATAAAATCGTTCTTATGTATGAATATTTCTCTCATCAACAGAAATTTTTCCCTCAGGAAGAACACTAACCCATAGAACCTGAAATGTAAGCATTCTGAAGCTCAAACATGACTAAGATAATATGCAAAATTCCATTGAGTGTGTAATCAGTCAACAGATAATTTACAAATTCAAAGAAAAAAATCATAAAATAGCAAAAGAGAAATTGTTTGCTGCAATTGCTTAATTGTTAGCAATTAAAGTACAAATTAACATCATTTTAAGATAAATTTACATACTTATCAAACCACTAAAAAATATAAAAATCTAATATTTATACAAATCAACTTTAACCAACTGAACTGTAAAGTTCAGCTTTTCTTAAATCTCCCCTTACGACCAATTCCCAGGAATGGAATTGCTGTGTCATAGGTCATGGACATTTTTAAGTCTTCTTGAACTTATGTTGAGCCCAGAAAGGTCTGGATTCTAACCAGCTTTGGGTATTTGCATACTTTTCTCACTTTGACAACTTAATGGATGGATAATTTTGTTTTATTTGCATTTCTTTGGTACTAGTTCTTGAGCTTGAGCCGAGCTTGAAGACAATTAGACACGGTCTCTGCACTTGAAGAGCTTACCCAAGTAACTTGGTTGCAAGTCAGTAAATGTTAAGAGAAACATATAATTTCAATATAGTGTAATTTATACTTCCTATTTTATACTGCTGCTCTCCTTGCTACTGGATGAGAAAGGGTCACAAGAATACTCTTCAACAGACCCATCCCAATCTGACAGTGAAATGTTAATTGAAAATCTATTTGCTGAATAATTTTAAGAGATATGCAAATGCTGAACGGGACTCTATTAACATTTCAACATTACGTTGCTTCACTGTTGCTTTTTTTTTTTAAGTTCTCAGGTTGTAGTTTTCCCGATGCATCAGGACTAAACGTTTTGAAGGGTGGTTTGTGGTGGGACTGTGAATAGCAGCCAGGTGAAAAACACCAAGTGGTGAGGGTGAGGCTTGTGATTAGGCGTTAACCACCCCGGATTTCTCTAGGAAGTGAGCAATGGCCAGCCGCAGTGCAGTAGCTGTAGAACATTCCAGACTTTGAAATTCTAATTACTAGTAATTTCTAGTACAGAATCTCTAGTAAAAACTGGCTCTTGTTGAATAACCTGTCGACGTGGCTTTTTCTCTACATTTATTGCCCCATTTCATTCACACAGCTCTGTGACATAGTGATTATCCCCGTTATTAAACATGAGAGAACAGAGGCTCAGAGAGACTAAACATTTTGCCTCCACTGTGCAGTAGGTGAGTTATAAAACTGGGATTTAAAACCACTTTATTCTGACTATGAAGCCATTTTCTACCATGTAGTAGTTACTAGTGGTAAAACAGACAACCTAGATAAATCAGACTGTCATCTTTACCCAAACTGTAGGAATCGTACCTTCATTTTCCTCTCCTTTTCCTAGCTGTGGAAATCTAATTTTCGGATTATGTTTTTAATGGCTTTAAAGACAAACTTTTAATTTTCTGCAAAGACTTCGATCCACTCTGAGTTCCAAAGCATTATATTTTTGTGGCAACCGTGAAGGTAAAATTGGAGCGATGAGATCTGAATTACTCAGAGCAGGAAACCTTTATTACTAGATCATTGTTCTTATGATAATCCGCATCTCTGCTTCTTGTAGCAAAACGATGTCTGCAGCACTAAGCTGAAATGACAGTCTGCAATGTGTACTCTGCTAAACGTTGCCTAGCAATAATTTATTAGAGATAATAATAAAACCTCACTGTTCCATGTTAAAGGATTTCAAATTTTCTGATAATAAATATAATAAAAGGTAGATGATATACGCATATTAATCTTAAATGTTAGACTTAATGAAATGAATAGTCATATAGAGATGATTCAAATGTGTCCCTCATTATATTGTCTGAAACGACTGCATTACAGATGATTTAAAAAAAAAAAAAAGGAAATGACGCACAGAAATGTGAAGCCCTCAGACTCAATACTGTTTTCTAATACCCGAGATTGGGTTACACGGTGTTCTAATCCTCCCTAAGGAAGGTTTTAAAGCATATCAATACTGGCCCAACCTGAGAAATTCTGCACCCATCGATAATTTTTTAAAGCACTCCAGATGACGTTAACGCAGGGTTGAATAACACGGCAATAACTCACATAAAGCGTTATGTAATTTTTGGACGTCAATAGATACCGCCTAATTGTGTGCTATAAAGCCGTTCAGACTCACTTGCTCTCCGGAAAAATTAATTACCTCTGGTCTGTTGCCTGAAAAAATCTTGAGTGTCCCAGGCTTTGAAGAAAAAGGGAGCAGCAGTAGTGCGGCTTGAAGATATTGCCCCCTCGTGGTGGCTTCTTTAATAACAACGCAATGTGGTGCTGCTAATCTAAACCATTTTTGGCGAACAATATTTACTTTTAAAAGACTAAACTTTTAAATCCTAAAAGGATTTGTGGTTAGCACTATTATTTAAGCGTTCTTTTTTATTTCAACATGATTAAATTATAAACTCAGGTCACTGCTTTCAAGTACAGTCCTCCCATGGTAACCATGTGGGGCTGGTTCCAAGACCCCAGTGGATAGCAAAACTAGCTTTTAGCACAGTCAAAATAACATAAACAGTGAGCTGATTTATGATACAACAGTGAAGTAATTAAACTAATCTTGAAGATAAGAAGAACTATGCTTATATGTAAGAATATATGTAAGAATGTGGTACTGGGTTAGTGAAAGAAAGTTGAATTCTTCTCTTCCATAAGCGGAAGTCATTAGATAACACTTGCATCAGCAGAGTCCAATCAGGAGACAAAAACACTCTGTATTTTAGCAAAGAGAATTTAGCATAATTCCTTACTAGTTTATAAAGTTGTTAGCCATGTGATTAACTGAAGAGGTCAAAAGCATATTGTATGTATCATGGAAGTAGCAAATAGAGGATGTAGCTATCCCCGTGGAGCTGATGAAACAAAAGGAAGAGGCTGAATGATTAAAACTTCAATGTTTTATAATATTCCATGGTGTATATGTGCCACATTTTCCCTGTCGAGTCTATCATCAATGGGCATTTGAGTTGGTTCCAGGTCTTTGCTATTGTAAACAGTGCTGCTATGAACATACGTGTGCATGTGTCCTTATAGTAGAACGATTTATAGTCCTTTGGATATATACCCAGTAATGGGATTGTTGGGTCAAATGGAATTTCTATTTCTAGGTCCTTGAGGAATCGCCACACTGTCTTCCACAATGGTTGAACTAATTTATACTCCCACCAGCAGCAATCAAAAATGATGAGTTCGTGTCCTTTGTAGGGACATGGATGAATCTGGAGAACTTCATTCTCAGCAAACTGACACAAGAACAGAAAATGAAATACCACATAGTCTCACTCATAGGTGCGTGATGAACAATGAGAACACATGGACACAGGGAGGGGAGCACTACACACTGGGATCTATTGGGGAGAATAGGGGAGGGACAGCAGGTGGGGAGCTGGGGAAGGATAGCATGGGGAGAAATGCCAGATGTAGGTGAAGGGGAGGAAGACAGCAAATCACACTGCCACGTGTGTACATATGCAACTATCTTGCATGTTCTGCACGTGTACCCCAAAACCTAAAACTCAATAAAAAAAAAACTTCAATGTTTTGAAGAGGGTGCCTTAACTGAAACTCAGCTCTGAATAAGAGGGCGTCTCTGCAAGTATTGGTGTCTGTGAACTCAATGTAGCCTTTGTGGAAGCTGCGAAAGCGGACCAATCAAATATTCCTTCAAGAGAGTACATACTAATGGGAGCACTATTAGCTGGAAGGCCCTTGCTTGAAACATCTTCAGTAGAACGTAGACTCAGACTAATGTGGGGCTCTGAGAAAGTTTTAGAGGGCTTTAGTGCAAAGGCTGCTCATAGAGGGACCTTGTGCTGGTCAGACATCATGAATTCTTGTACCGATGTCATATTCAGTCATTGGCTGCGGGTTTCTCAGTAATTTCACAGCCTACAGCATTACATTACAATACCTTTTCACATGTTGAGTGGGCAAGTGGATATATGAGTCTGGTGTTCATGGGAGGAGTGTCAAGTGAAGACAGAAATGTGGGAGTTGTCAGCACATAGATGATGTTTAACATCATGGGACTAGCCTTATAGAAGAGAGTTGCGTACTGAGTGCTAAGATAGAGCAGCCATATATGAGGGGAAATCAGGACAGCATGGTTTCAGCAAATCAAGGTAAGAACGGAATGGTCCACTCTGTCGAATGATGGTAAGAGGTGGCAGTAAAAAAAGGAAAGTAAATGATCATCAAGCCAATTGAGAAGGGATTGAAGGAGAATATAGACCACTCATTGCATTACATTTGCTGTAAAGATAATTAACTAAGTGAAACATAGAGAGGGACATGAGGCCAAAGGTGTTTTGTTTTGTTGTTTGGTGTGATCTTGTATCACTGCAACCTCTGCCTGCCAGGTTCCAGTGATTCCGGTGACTCAGCCACCTTCGCAGCTGGGATTACAGGCATGTACCACTAAACCCAGCTAATTTTTGTATTTTTAGTGGGAACAGGGTTCAGCCATGGTGGGCAGGCTTATGTCAAACTCCTGGCCTCAAGTGATCCGCCCACCTTGGCCACCCAATATGCTGGGATTACAGGCAAGAGCCACCGCTCCTGACCAAAGTATATTTGTTTTTTCAATTAAGAAGAGAGGCTCTGGATCTCTGGGGGACTGAGCACAGCACAAAATCAAACAGCAACCTACAGAATAAAAAAAAATAGAAAACCATGTATTACACAAGGGATTTATATAAGAAATTATGAAGAATACATACAACTCAGTAGGAGAAAAACAATGTGATTTAAAAATGGACAAAGGACCTGAATAGATATTTCTCAAAAGAAGATAAATGACCAACAGGAATATGAAAAGGTGCTCAATCTTATTAATAATCAGGTAAATGCAAATCAAAACCAATATGAGATCTATATCACACTCGATCTGATGGTTATTATCAAAAAGTCAAGAGATACGTTGGTGAGGGTGTGGAGAAAAGGACCGTTGTACACCATTGATAGGAATATAGATTAGTGCAGCCAGTATAGAAAACAATATTGCATTTCCTAAAGAAATTTAAAAATAGAGCTACCATATGATCTGGCAATTCCTTTTTGGGGCATATATTGCAAGGGAATGAAATCACCACTTCATAAAAATATCTGCACACCCATATGTTCATTCCAGCATTATTTACAACAGAAAAAAGAAGGAAAAAACCTAAGTGCCCATTGACAGATGAATGTATAAACTGTGGTATGTAAATAATAAAATATTATTATCTAGCCTTTAAAAAGGAGATTCTGCCATTTACCACAACACTGATGAAACTGTAGGACATTAAGCTCAGTGTAATAGGCCAGACACAGAAAGATGAAATATTGCACATTGCTTATATTTCCTTGTGGAATCTAAGAATAAAGAGCAAAATATAAAAAGACACAGTGTAAAACAGTGGTTACCAGGGGTAGAGAAGGGGATGAGGGTGGGACTAAATGAGAAGATGTAGGTCAGAGCTTGCAAAGTAGCAAATATGTATGATGAACAAGTCTAGAGATCTAATGTACAGTATGAGAATTATAGCTAAAAAAAAATCATACTGTATTGGGATTCCTGTTAAATGAGTATCTTTTAGCTGCTCTTGCTTGCTATAAAATCAAGAAGAAAAAAATGGGTAACTATGTGAGATGATGGACATGTTAATTTGCTTCACTATAGTAACCATTTTACTATATATGAATTTATGTATGCCACAACATGTGCCTTAAATATACACAATAAAATTTATTATTTTTAAGTAAAATGATCCTAGAACAAGAGAACAAGTTTGGATGCTGATCGGAATGGTCTAGCAGGAGGGATAAATATGAGATACACAGGAGAGAAAAAGATGGTTGCAAATGAGCCATGTACCTCTTGCCTGTGATACCAGCACTTTGGGATTCTGAGGCAGGGAAATCACTTGAGCTCAGGCAGGAGTTTAAGACCAGCCTGGATGACAAAGTGAGACCCCATCTTTAAAAAAAATGATAGGGGCAAGACCATAACCCTTGAGTTAGTAGCAGTGTACAAGTGGAATGGTTATTCTCGTTTGGGATAAGAAACTCTTTCACTGTAACAGACAAGTCAGAGTATATGAATACAGATGCAGCAAATGGGAAGATATGATGTGGAAAGCTTGTGTATGCTTTCCTCTGATTCTTGTGAAGTAGCAAGCAAAAAGGAGGCTCTGGAGATTTTAGGAAAGAAGAAACTGGGAATCATCTAGGGAAATCTGGAAGACTGCGGAACTGTTCAAGTGTACCTATTGTGCATTGCCTTTCAAAGATCATTTTACAGAGATGAAATTGAAATTTGGAAGAAGATCAAATCCCTTATCCAAGATCAAACAGCTAGACAGTAGCTGGATTTCCACTCAAATTCAGGTCCCTTGACTCTTATTCCAGAGCTCTTTCTGATCAAACGTGTCTGTGTATTTCACTTGTGTTTTCAAAATGGCATTTTCTTTCCAAATGCTCAAGCTTCTGCTTAAAAGATATCTTTTGATGTGGAGGAGGACTTCTCCCAGTGCACTGCTCTTGAGTATGGGCAGTCTTGCAAAACCAAGAAATTCTTCTCCAAGTGATTCTGTAAGCAGAAACTCAAAAACTTGACTTTCAAATGCATTAGAAACACAAAGTAACCCACAGATATTGGAATTAGAATACCTTGTGAAACAGATGAGTGGGCTGAGATATTTTATTGGTGGTGAGTTTGACAGTTATTGATTACACCTAAATCATGTGTGAAGGACAACAGAATGTAAGATTTAAAAATTTCAAATATAGTCACTGCCTCATCATTATTCTGTGTTTTGAAATGATACGTTCTGAAAATACCAGGTAGTGCATGTGATATAGTCCACACTGGGCTTGCAAAGATTCAGAGGAATAGAGTAGGTGAATGTGCTTTACTATGACAAAAGACCTTAGAAATTAAGTAATACCCTATCCTTATTTAACATTGAGATTTATGAAGTCCACAAAATTTGTGAACATTAAGGAAGGTCACTAAAGCTAATTAGGAAATGAGCTGGAGCTAGAAGCTGGAGTTCAGTACTCTTATTTCAGTGTTCTTAGCATGCTACCTGTATGTATATGTACGCTTATGTATGTAGTTCAGAGGCTGTCAATAGCAGGGGGTTGTGCCGACAACATTGTTTGAATGACTGTTTTGTACCATGTTAGCTGCGGCATTGTGAGTGGAATACTTATCCTCTCTGAGGATTGGTT